CTCAAATATTATGCCTATAACGTGTATTTGTAGCAATCACTTTTGTTGTCTGCAACAATATATTAGAATTTAAATTACATAATGAATATGATCTAAAGTGTGGACTTTCAGCTTTCATTTGATTTCATTTTCATCTAGGAACTGCAACCACTTTCATAAATAGCCTCCTAATTATTAGGGGCTCAAAGTAATTGGACAAACTAACATAATCATAAATTAAACAGTCGTTTTTAATACTTGGTTGCAAATCCCTTACATTTATTGACTGCCTGAAACCTGGAAACCATGGACATCATCACATGCTTGGTTTCTTCCCTGCACTGCCAGACCTTTACCGCACCTGTCTTCAGTTCCTGCTTGTTCTTAGGCTCTTTTACCTTCAGTTTTGCCTTCTGTAAGTGAAATGCATGCTCGATTAGATTAACATCAGGTGACTGATGTTGCTATTGCAGAACATTCTTTTGCAGTATGGTTCCTGTTATTGTCCATCTCTAGTAAAGTGCCATCCAATGAGTTCTGAAGCATTTGGCTGAATCTGAGCAAATAATACAGCCTTAGACAAGTATTAAATCAAGTATTAAGAATGACAATGTATTTCATGATTATATTTGTTATGATTGCATCACTTTTGAGCCCCTAAAAATTGGGTGGGGGGTGGGTGAGTGTATAAAAATGGTTGTCATTTCTGTACCATTCACACAATTTGGATGTAAATGCCCTCACATTAGTTGAAATTAGCTGAAGTTGAAAATCTGCACTTTGACTTCATATTCATCTTTTAACTCCAACTCCAATAACCTTAATAACAATAACTTTATTTAAGTCAAAATTATAGGCCTGACTGTATATAACAAGTCAAGACACTGGCATAAAATAATGACGGGACGGGGGACATTCCCCTACTTTTTGAAAGTATGCAAGATAAATTTGGGGGTCACGGGATGATTTCACAAAAGGTACATAGTCTATATTATTGATAACCTATTAAACCTCCGCAGACACATTGTCACTGTAAGCTAAAACAGAGTAGCTGTGTAAATGATGATGTGCTGTACTCATGCTGAGCTGCGGGAAATACAGTCTGCTAGTCAGCAGCAGCGCTCAGTGTGGTCTAACAGCCGACCAAACGACCTTTTGTTTCTATAAACATTACGCAATGACTGTTTATCTACACTACAGAATGTCCACATTTGGAGCGCTGGTTTGCCAGACAAGGTCTGCCACTTAAAGCAGACCAGTCAGTTACATCATATCAGAATGTATTTCTGCCTCCTGATGCCTTTATTCAGCTTATAAATACGTTTTGTCATTTAGAATGAATGTCGTGGCTCTAAAAGGCTGAGAACTGTACAGCACTACTGTCAACTGTACATTAGCTGTTTACTCTTGAGTTTAAGTAAATTGGGGAGTTTTGCATGTCATGAATATCATCAGTCTGATTGGCGACTGATGCTCTTCTGTTGTGATCCAGTTATGAAGTTAAAAAAATTGTGCACTAAATGTTTTTATGTGTACTAAATGCAACAGAACCCAGACTTTAAGCACTGACCTGCCCTGCCCTTATAAATTAAATTGTTTGCAACACTTATTTACTACATAATAAGTACTTACTTCATACTATTACATTACAGTATTACTGTAAGTGTAGTATTAAACAAACAATTTTTTTATTTCAGTGTATTTCAGTGCCAAACAATGGGGCAACGAAAGAAACTATATACTATTTATGTATGATTTTTTCTGTTAATAATATTCCAATAATATGCAGGTATACTGTTTCACCTAGGCTTACATTTGAATTGTTGTAAGTACGCTTTTCTCTTCCAGTGTTGGTCCCCCGGCACTTGTCAGACCAAATTTGCACCCCTGGGTCCAGAAATGCGTTCTTCAGATTCCCCAGGCAACAACAGTACTTCTTAATGTTAGTGGATTATTGCAGCAATTGGGCTAAGCTGTTCCCTTTCGAAAGAGCCATTGCTAGGGCACGCCAGAATTTCTCATGTCAGACAAGAGTTTTCACTTTGCCTCTAACTTGCACCAAAAGGTCTTTTGAAAGGCTGATCCATATTCCCACCCCAATACAGGATGAGTTAATCGAAAAAAGTAGAGCATCCCACATCAAAGACAAACATAATACCTAGGACGGCTGGCCTTCTAAGTTTTGATTTGCTCACCGCATGGCATAAGATGATTGCTCTCACCCCAATCAAAGTGATATCTGAAGGCCCTATTGGAGCAGAGGAGGAGTGGATCGGGAAACTAATGGCTGGACAAAACTGACAAATCAAGACAGAGCCCGAGTAGAAAAGGTAGACAAAATCATTACTGTGATCTCAGAAGACAACATGCAGCCTTCGAAGGAAATTAGATGTGGATCTGCATCCATCCCGTCACGAAGCAGCAATGGTGTCAGGGCCGAGCTAGCCTCTAATTGGAAAAGACTTCTCGTAATGAGACACAAGTGAGGCCAGGGTATTCATTGTCTACATATTTAATCAAGCTGCTCAAGTTGCTTTGGTTCAGACCTGTGAGGCTGTTATGGTCCAGAAGCATCTGTCACTTCTTCTTAATGGGGTGTAAACATGCAACCACCTGTGTAGTGATTACCTGAAGGCCTGGTCAAAACATCAGAAGGATAATAGGAGCAGATAGTGATTAAATCAAATATTCATAATATATTTTTTTTGGATTTACTTCTTTTCAAATAAAATCAAGTGTCTTCAAGCATAAGTACAAATCTATGTCATAACTTCAAAGTGCTTCATAGGCCTAAATCTTTCCTCTAAGGTGCCATAACTTTTTTCCAGCCTACTCATGGCCTCTGAAGTTTGGCAATTCACAAGCTGTTTCTTTTACTTAAAATTATTACCTTGGTATTCATGGAGAGGAATCTGAGCCAAATTGAAATGTAATTACTACAGTGAGAAAATGGGAAATGCAACGCACACGTGATTACTTTTCCATGCAAAAACATGCCAAAATGAAAAGCAAAGCCTGTTAGATTGTTTTCAAGTCACTTGACCTCTTACTGAAAAACAATAAATGACGATTTGCTTTTAAAATGAAATTCATGTCAGAATTGAATACAATCCACCCTGAAATGTAATCAGCGCACAGCTATAATGCTTTCAATTGTGGACTTCAAACGACATTAAATCAATGTAATATCTTTTGCTTTCCCTTTTCTGCATGTCCCTGTTTAAATTTCATATATGCATTGCATTTCACTTGTTTCACTGCTATGACTGTATTTCAATATGGCAAACATGTTTACAGTGAAAAGCAAGTTCCACAGTTGTGCGTTGATAACATTTCAAGATGGATTGTTTTCAGTTCTGACACAAATTATGTATTTTTTAATGCAAATCCTCATGTATTGTTCTTCAGTAAAGAAGTCAAGCGACATGAAAGCAATGTAATAGTTATGTGTCGCTTTTCATTTTGTCATGTTTTTTCACTGTAGTGATTGCATTTCAATTTGGCACAAATTGCTCTCCATAGTTTCTAAGCCATAAAACATTATACATCTGGCAATTTAAGTCACAAGCACCCATTAACTCTTTTTCACAGCAACCATTTAATGCTGCTTGTTTTAGTGGAGGTCCCTCAATTTACCTATGCAATTTTTTCTTCAATAACACTGATGGAAACGTGTATGATTTAGTAAACTGGAAGCAAACTGGAGTTTCGACTTCTAAGTCAAGATTTATGAAAGTGTTTTTGTTTCAGTGCTATTTGTCATTGTGGTAGTTGTCCGCAGTTTGTTGATGTGAAGAAAGCTGCAGCGCCTTCCCTTTTGTCTCAACACAGCCGCCTTTGTGGCGAGGTGTGAATTGTTTTTACAGCAGAGGGGTCCCACCCCTCCCCTCTTACCCCTCATTGCTCGCTGGCAGATCAACACAGAGTTACGTTTCACCTTTCACCCACAGAGAGCCGAACAGAGTTTTAGGTAATCTGATAACAGCTTTCTGGGGATAATGTTTCATTTGATTATATTAATTAGGAATATCTGATTCCACCACTAGGGGGCCTGCAGAAAGAGAATAATTTGAACATCACAATTCATCTGGGTTTATAAACAACCAGTGACAAACACTGATAAACTAAGAAATGCTTCCTGTCAACAAATGCTTCTCTTATATTTTCAGATGTTTTGAATGGTGCCACCATGTGCTACCATTGTATCATTAAAGGTTAATTACAACAGTAGAATCAAAGTCTAGAAAGCACCACTTAATCACAATTTTCTGTATATTTGCCAGCTGTTATTAATCAGGAACTGAAAGTCATGAGCTACACATTTGTCTTATGTTTTTGTCAGTAAAATTCTGTATATGGCTGTTGTCCATCCTCAACCACAGGAGAATGAAAGTACAAAGCAGATGATATAAAAAAGATAAAAAGTAGAAGAAGCAAGTGAAGAACAAAGGAAGCATGGTTTATTTTTTGATGCTTAATATAATTTTGGATGCTCCGGGTGATCAAGAAAGAACAGAAGACTTTCAGCTCATGACAGAAAGGAGATTATGTGCACAACTATGTCCTGGTTTGCCTTTTGGAAAGTTCACTGCTTCTCTGAACACATTTGTGAGACCAAATACATATTGGTTAATGATGCGTGTTGTACTGTGCTTCATTCAGAAAGCATTGTAGAACTTCATTATGAATGGGTGGGGCTAAATTGCTGTAAGCTGAACAGACAGACAGATGTAAATACATGCTTCTCACAACATAACAGAAACAACGAATTGCTAGTGGGCTGTTTTTCGGAGCTTAGTTTCAATATATGGACTCTATGGACTGGGTAGTCAATTGTACAACAAAGTAAAACTTTGTCAATATTTACAGATTACTTCAAATTTTAAAGTAATATGTAAACATTTCATATATAATATGAAACATTTTTTTTAAAAAGTGAGGGAAATTTGGTTTTCCATGATATGGAGCCTTACATTTAAAAACATTGTAAAAAAGAAATGCACAAAATACAGCATCTTTACCTCCGGCATACATGACGGCCAACATGATAGAAGAGATCCAGGCAACCTGACTGTATGATGCGTCAAAAATCTTCTGGATGTCCTTGAAGAAGACAGTGGTAGCTTTGGGAAAAGCATAGGAAAAGCCAATGGAGATGAAGGCTCCACACACCACAGCCCAGCCCCAGCCTCCATCCGGAGGGGGCACAACTGGTTGTCCAACAGGGGGTGGCATTCTAAACCCAGGTCTATTGCTATGGAGAGAGAAGAGAAAGAAGGAAACATAACAGTGATTGTGTTGTTGGTAGTTTATAGGTATGCAGCAGTGTACACATTTTATGAGAATGCGTCAGTAAATACCTTCAAAAGGCAGAGAGAAGGAAGAGTAAGAACGCATTTTGTCTTGAGTCATGCTCTTGGCAGATCGCCATTTCACTCTAATTAAACCAGTCTAGGTCACTATGACATTGAGTTAGCAGGCTCTTTCAAAATCCAGCGCACTACTGGAAAGTACTAGTGGACTTTCAGCAAATCATAACATTACCCAAAACATTTCTTCATATGATTGTAAATAGGGACTTTGCTTTTGGACTCTTACTACACATCATATATGTTGGACAGGACGTCCGCTAAGCTAGACCTGAGTGACCTGAGGTCTTTCAGTGTAATTTAATCACCTTGGCGACACTGTTTACCTTCCACAGCCAATTGGAAAGCTAATCTGTACTCTAACTCCCACCTCCGACTTATCTTGGTTTCCGCTTCTTGGTGTGAGAGCTCATGGAAATCTGGGCTGGCAAAACAACTGTAACGAATCACAACTGTATTTACAAACCAAACAACACCTCTAGTGAGTCTGAGCGTGTGAAATAAGAGGCTTGTGCCCCTGACATTCACAGACACGTACACACACACATTCATTCACACACACATACACACACACATTCATTCACACACACATACACACACACTCACTCTTCTTTCATTTCATATTGTACCAATTGAATATAGCCCTAAACAATAGGCCTTGTGTTGGTTAAGCTTTTGTTGTCCTTTTATATGTGTCCCTCAAATCAAAAACAACCTTGTCATTAAGCCGTGACTGTACAGTGATACAGGGCCGGCCATTTGCTGCCTTTGGAACTGGGGCCGGTTGCACCAGCTGTACCAGTTATAACGTAAGTGTTTAGTAAGTTCAGGTTTATGCATTACTAATCAAAACAGGTTGCACCACACAAACTAGTTTTTACATTGAACTTAGTAGTTAATAAATATTAATACCTTCCCCTAAGCAGGTGTAAGTGTTAAGGAAACCAACAGAAACCACCTAGAAAGCAAGAACAAAGAAGACCGGACATATGACTTATTCAAGTTAGTTTTACATGGGGAGGTGGGTTAATGTAATTTTTTACCAGCTTGCTGTAAAACATAATTTTTTATTCCATTCATGGCAATTGCCATTGTAAGTCAAAATAGTCCCCCCTAAAAAAACAGGTAAAATAAGATAATGGCATAAGATCCACTCTGAAAAAAAGGTATTAAATGGTGTTTGTCTTGGATGTACCTTCCCATTGTACGACCGAAAAAAAGAAAAAAAAAGAAAGGTTCTTTACACTCACACATCTCATTTGCACAAAAAAATGGTTCTTGAAAGAACCATACATTGGAAGGTTCTTCAGGGACCCAAAAGTGGTTTTCTATACTGTGGCACATTTTGTTTCTGCGCAGTTCGTGCAGTCACTATACACTGAATGTTGCTATTCTTTCTGTTGTTATTTATACATTCTCTAAATTTGATGTTATTTATGACACACAGTTATTCAGTGCTCTATAACTATTCAAATATTCACAATTAATATACTCTGAAAAACACAACGTGACATACATTATCCTGTTCATGGTAACAGTTCATATCCATCCACCCCACCCAGTCATAACACTGAGAACAGGAAGCGGTCTAAAGTCTTGCCAATTCTTCCCTGAAATGGATACAAACTAAATATACACAATGCTTTAGAGCATCAGACTATAGAGCCCCAGGGAGCAAACTTTCACACCTGAGAACACCATAAGCCCTCGTAACACACTGTGGGAAAACACTGACTGTGCTCTAAGAAATGGCATCATGCCAACCAGGATCTTTCAGTTTGTACACAGACATAAACTATCATTATTTGCATCTTAGTACCCCCACTGAGACGACCGTCAGATCTATTCAAATTACTGAACCAACGAAATTCTCTCTCTGGAGAGGTGTCACTTTGTAGCCAATGCCTGCGGCTGCATGCCTGAGACCATTGTTGACCCATGCAAGCCACCAGTAGTGATTACAATGTGTCAAGCAAAGCTCAAGTGTCTGCTCTTGTCATACAATACGCTCAACCAGAGGTCACTGTATACCTGGAGAAACACACCCCGCCCCAAGATTAAACAATAAGAAAAGAGGCCCCACGACGGCATCAGCTTTACTGATAAATGACATAAAAACATAAGGAATAATGAAACAGGCTGGAGTCATCAAGGAGAGTGCATATAGGCTTATGCTTGTATCTTCATGCATGTAGAGAAGCAGATAGAGAAAGAGAGAGAAAGAGAGAGAGAGAGAGAGAAAGAGAGAGAGACAATTTGGCATAAGCTTGAGTGGTTTCACAGGGGTATAAATATGAGGTTCCACAGTGGACAATTTCCCTTAATCACTCATCAACCTGCCTGTAAGATGAGGATGGTTAGAGAGGCAAAAAGGATCACTGTTGGAGGTTTGCAGAAGATGGTATCATTCTGGGGTCACCAAGTGTCCAAAATTAGATGTCACTTCTATGCCAACAAAATATTCAGAGCGTAAGAGCTTGGAATTTTTTCTACGTGCTAGTGGCACTGGAACCAGGTTCTACTGTCAGATGAAACAAATATAGAGCTTTTTGGCAACACTCAAGCTGGGTTGGGTATAAGAGAAGGATGTCCCTAGGAACATGAAGTACTAAGAGATTTTAAATGAAGATCCATCTGCCAAAAAGCTATAATTAGGTCATGGATGGATCTTCCAGAGTCATCCTACTCGGTGGCCCCATTCTATGAGTTTGTAATGTCTACCGTTCTGTTGCTGAGCTGTTTTTGCTCTAGACGCTTCCATTTCACAGTAATAGCACTTACAGTTGATTGGGGCAGCTCTAACAGGGCAGAAACCTATGACAATGTCACCCTTAAAGTCACTGAGCTCTTCAGTACGACCCATTCTACTGCAAGGTGTAGTGGTAGACATCTAATCTGCTGTTGAAACATGTGACTGTGACCATGACAACATATAAAAGTATATCCCTACATTCACCCTCCTCCAAGGTCACACACACAAAGTGTAAACTGGCATGGTGCCTACAGCCCAGTTCAAACTCCATTTTTAATATAGATTTGGAATTCTGAATTCTGTAGCAGGTGAGTAGCTCTCACTTGTATTCTGACTGATTGTTGAAGGGTCTGTATCCTTAACATTTTATTTGTTCTTTTTATTCCCTGAGGTCCACTTTTAGGGTTCATGACTGTTATGTGTTTTGTTGCATGGATAACAAAGCACATAACAGTAAAATTGTTTTCCAGTCTCTTTTTATCCCTTGGATTCCCAAGCTGTTTTTGTTACTGTGCTTTTTTAGAATGATATGCAAATGACCTCTGTTCTAGTTGGCTGCCATGTAATGTGCTTTATTCAAAAAACAGTCCAGGTCAAAAAAATGTGAATGGGCACAGCTAAACTGCTGTAATATGATATATGTAAATGCATTGGGTTTCATGACATCACAGAAACAATGAGCTGTTTTTAGAGATTCATTTCCTCATATGAACTGTGTGGACTGGGAAGAAGGAACAGTACATTTTAAAACTTTAGCAATGTTTACATTCCACATCAAACTCTTACTTGAAAGAAGTGGGGAAATCAGTTTTTTTACAACATTGGCCCTTTCATGCCTTATCAAGGATTTTCTCTTTAACCTAGTTAGAGATTCACACTCATGGCCGACTACAACGTGTAGTCTGTGTTGTGCCTAAGGACATCCAGGGTCACCTTCATCTAGAGACTGCCAGGAGGTACTCAGTGTTGAATAAACTCATTAAGAGAGGGAGAGGGAGGGAAAGAGAGAGAGAGATAGAGAGGTTTTAATCATTTTCTTTGGCTCTTATATATGAGCTACATTATTTGGCTAGATCTGTAAATGCTCACTGAGAAGATTATAAAACAGCAAAACAAATTTAATGACCTATATTTGCACAGTTTTTTGATATATCCAACAGTTTTTCATATAAAAAAATGGTTGGTGACATAAAACCATTATAATGTAATGCTCTAATAGCACTTATACATAATCTTACTGGCAAAGGGCCGGTGTGGCTGCAGGTCTTCTTTTCAACAAAGCAGGAGCTCACCTGATTAGCTGTTGAACAAGTAGAATCAGGTGTGCTCCTGTTTTGTTGGAAAGAAAAGCTGCAGCCACACTGCACACTTTGAGGATAAGATTGGACACCTTTGACTTATACTAATACTTACTCTACCCTCTAGCACTGGATATATAAAAATGGCTTTGGGAACAGAGCTGTTTCTGAACATTTAAAGACCCTAAGCATCATGCTGTTTTCATTTTTGAGAGACAGGGGAAAATCAAGCTCCACTCTTGCTTCAGTTCTAAAAAATACTCCCACTGACAGAAGATAACTCAGCACTATAGGCCTGAAAGTATGTGTAGCTGTCAGGAAGCTGTTACCGAGAAAAGAAAAATAGATAATTATAAAAATAATATTTGAAAATCAAACAATGGACTGACCACCCCACCCCAGACCTCAAAATTACTGAATGCGTTCAGGATTATTTGGATTGTGAGAAGCAGGAAATGCAAATTTATGTTTTCTGCTGATTTGCTGCACTGTACACATTTTATGGGTGTCTTAACTAAAAAACGTAACTTTGTTGCAATAAGATATTGCATTAATTGAACATCAAATAACAAGTTAACTGAACATAAATCATAGACTTTTGTTTTGTTATCTTACTTGTGTGCATACTCGTAGGAAGCCTGGTGGCTTGGGGGGCTCTAAGCAACTGCTTATATCGCATATAGAAAGTAATAGCCCTGTTTGGGATATAGTCCAAATCCTTAAAATGGTTGGTAATGCTTAGGTACAGCAAAATCTAGTTTAAAAGCAAAGGAAAAGGGTGCTTAAGCTTAAAAAAGCACATAACAGCACATTGGCAACAAGTGTAATTAAAAAT